ATACTCATCACGTGTTATTAGAGTCACGTGACTTCCGCTGTTGTAACAATATTTTACCTCCTGACGGCAGAGCGGTAAGCTTGAGTGCTTATAGCGCTAAATATTTATATCATTGGCTAATTCTATTTATTCTCTAAAAGACTTTCAAATGGAGGCCAAATAATTTCCATGCAGTATTCCCAAACGTAAAATAAGTTTATTGTCTTTATTAGGACCAGATACTTTCTACAGTGTTTCTCCTTCTTGTTCATTGATAAAAGTTCTTGAATCTACAAACGTTTTTTTACTTTAGCTGAGCTCTTTGTTTCCATATACTGCTCTGGCCAAGGACTTTTTAGGGGTCAAAGTGAATACTTTCTATTCTATTGGAGGTATTTTCATGGTAAATGCTACTGTAAAACTGAAGGAAACTACGACTACTAAAAAGACTTCGGTAAAACAGCAGCTGAAAAACGAACTGAATAAAGTGATAAACCAGAACATTGGAGACAGTCGACTACAGGTCCAAGAATCACCCAGTCCAGTTCCGTTAGTAGAAGGTATGAAAAACTTTGCCATACTCACATAAGTGTCTGTGTTTTAAGACTTACCTACAAAATAAAAGCTGTTCTCTGTGTTAAAATTGTATTTAAAAAGTACAATTATAACAATTTTTATGTATATTAACAAACTTTTTAATAATGTGGTTATACAGAACAGATGAAATTACATAGTTATTGTGTGTATGTATCTAACAGGACATGTTAAATCATACAGATTTAGTGTGTATGTATCCAACAGAACATATGAAATAACATAGTTATTGTGTGGATGTATCTAACAGAACATGTTAAAGTTTATGAGCTCTATATTTTTCAGATTTCGATGAGTGTGCTGATCCAGATACGAATGATTGTTCCAAGAATGGCTACTGTGTAAATGAACTTGGTTCTTTCTGGTGTCATTGTAAACCTGGATATTTAGACAAGTTTCAAAATGACCGATGGAAAGCAGGGCGACAGTGCTACGGTATGTGCTTAATCTGAATCTAAATATGTGCTTTGTTTCAAATATTTTAAACATGTCTTAATGCCAGTCTGTATAAGAAAAGAACAACAACCAAATATTGATAATTAATTTACAAAATAAACTTGAATACTAATATTAAGTTCTCTCCTTGTATATATTTAGCTTGTTCTTCAGAGTTCTGTAACAATCATGGAGAGTGTGTCGTGAGTAAAGAAACCACTGCTTGCAAGTAAGTCCCAGTATAAATATATCACTGTTGCTTGAGTCAGAGCCATTTAGTGTAAATTTGTTAACGTTGCTATAGTCAGAGACACTTAGTGTAAATATATCACTTGCTAGAATTACAGTCACTTAGTGTAAATGTATTACTGTTATTAGAGTCAGAGTCAATAAGTGTAAATATATCATTGTTGCTGGAGTCAGATCACTTAGTGTAAATCTATCACTGTTGCTCTAGTCAGAGTCACTTAGTGTATCATTGTTGTTAGAATCAGTCCCACATTAGAAAATATTTCATTTTCTTTAGGAATGAATTCATAAGAAGTAAAATTCAGTTGATTCGGTACAAAATCACTAACTGCAAGTCAGTCATTTTTATTTGGGACAGAGTTGGTGAGTACAATCAAATCAATGTCATTAGGCACTAATCATAAAGAACAAGTTACTTTCTGTAACTAGGAATGGATTTATATAAATAAGCCACTTTTTGTTGTTAAGAATAGATTCACACCATAAAAAGCCAATTTTTATCGTTAGGAATGGATTCATAGAAAGAAGCTAATTTTTGTCATTAATAGTTGAAGCATAGAAAGCAAGCCAATCTTTGCTGTTAGGGGCAGTGTCACTGAGTGACGTTAGGGCACTGTCTTGATGAAGGTTCAGTTTATATGCTGAATCTATTTTGGGGAAGGGAAAGATCTAACATAAAATAAAATAATTGACATTAGGTAACAATACCATGATCAGCAGTACTGATTCTTCAACTTATTAGTTTCACAATTGTTACACGATACTAAAGGTGAGCAATGAATGTAAGGTTTGAGCAAATTGGGTGACTTGTGACTTCATAAACATCACACAGGAAGGTCTGTAGTACCCTTCAGAAATTTAAAACATTAGGAAGCTAATCACGACGAAATAACTATGATGTATCTCTTTTATGAATTATTATAAATGAAACATTAGAAGCAACAGAACATTGTTTAACAATAAGTATTCTATATGTCAAAACAATAATTATATTTATCACATATTGTGTGATAGAACAATACATCTAACCAATAATTAAATTTATCACTGATTGTGTGATTGAACAATACATCTAACCAATAATGAAATTTATCAAGGATTGAGTGATAGCACAATATATCTAACCAATAATGAAAGTTATCAAGGATTGTGTGATAGAACAATACATCTAACCAATAATTAAATTTATCAAGGATTGAGTGATAGCACAATATATCTAACCAATAATTAAATTTATCAAGGATTGTGTGATAGAACAATACATCTAACCAATAATTAAATTTATCACTGATTGTGTGATTGAACAATACATCTAACAAATAATTAAATTTATCACTGATTGTGTGATTGAACAATACATCTAACCAATAATTAAATTTATCAAGGATTGAGTGATAGCACAATATAACCAACCAATAATTAAAGTAATCATGGATTGAATGATAGCTCAATATATCCAACCAATAATTAAATTTATCACAGATTGAGTGATGAAATAATATATCCCACCAATAAATATAGCCATCATGGATTGAGTGATGGAATAATACACCCTACCAATAATTAAAGTAATCATGGATTGAGTGATAGAACAAGCATCCCACCACTAATTAAAGTCATCACAGATTGTGTGTTACTTTATGAAACTTCTTATCTAGGTTATTTTATCTCGAAGTTATATTTATATAATTTTTTAGATGCAGGGACAATTATATGGGTACACATTGTGATATTGACAGAGAGGGTAAGTTGTTATTTCTCTTATTTTCATGCTTCTTTAACATTATTACTATCATGTTATTTATCATACTTATAACTCTCAACACTAGTTTTGTCGTCGTTATTATGGAGATGTTGTTTTATTTACTGTAGCAGCAAATCATCATGTTACTATGGCTATTGTGTTGATTTTGATGTTGGAAAATAAACCCAAACTTAGTCTAAAACCATTAATAACTTTCTTCCTGAAACAATAAAGTAATAAACGTTTTTGTTTTTTTTACGTAGCTTTTAGTGATAATATCTAGGTGATTAATCAGTCCTTCAAAAATGTCACAGAATCATTTCTTTAAATATACATTTCACGATAACAACATATCAACATTTATTGACTGGACATCGGCCAAGCTAAGTTAGGTCTTCCAAGACAAATAGAACAAAACATAGTAGCCTAGTTACCAGATATATCTAACCATTCCTTCATGATTCTTGTCCAAATAGTAGAGTTAAAAAAAAAGAGAAACAATTTGACCTTCTCTCTTGAAAACATCAATGCAATAATTCCATATCTTACAACCAAATGAGTGTGTTTTCTTTCTTAGTTTATGTCATGTTAAAACACTGTTTTTTACAGTATTAGGTTTCACTCTTGGATCATCCATCACAACTACAGTCATCATCATCATCATCTTAACGTATATTTATATCATTTAAAACACTGTGTTTTTTGCAGTATTATGTGTCGCTCTTGGAGCAGCTATCACGACTGTAGTCATCATCATCTTTACTTGTCTTTACATCATGTTAAAACACTCTGTTTTTTTACAGTATTAGGTGTTGCCCTCGGAGCATCCATCACCGCTGCTGTCATCATCATCTTAACACTGATTTGTCTTTGTGTCTGGAAGTATGTATCTTATTTCTGCAAATTTGTAATTTAAATGATCTGAAAATAGCCATATGTAAATAATTAACAACTCTTTGAGGATAAAAGGTTTGCTTGTAGAGAAATGTAAAGTTTTTTTTTACATCTCATATTAGGACTTTATGGTTTATTCATAAGTTTCTTACATAAACTTTCTATACACTGAGCTGAAGAAGTATTTGTATACATAATGTAGTATCGAAGAAATTAGTAAAATTCCGTAAAGAATGTAACTTAATTATTGTGGTATTGAAGTTAATAAGTGGAATTTCCCTAAAGAATCGAACTTGGATTTAATAAGTGCTGTAGTTTCGCAGTTAATAAATGAAAATTTCTAAAAAACGTTTCAATGTGTGTTGTAATGTCGAAGTTAATAAGTGAATATTTCTAGAAAAGAACTTCAATAAGTTTTATTGTCTCTTGAAGTTTTAAAATTAATATGTTTTTATTCCTAGTCGAAGGTCGAACAAAAATGATAAAAAGATGGGAACTTCGCCTTCAGCTAGAATTGGTCAGATTTATAATTACGTCAACGAAAACAGCACTCCGAGACGGTCCAGTAGGCTATCAGTAGAAGATCGAATGAGGTGGCATCACCTCGCTGATGCAGTTGGACGTATATACGAGGTGATTTGACCTGTACTAAGTGTTCCAGAAACTGAAATAGAAATATTGTTAAAATTTTGCTTTGCCGAATACTTTTAATAATAATCAATTTTACTGAACTTCTGATAATGTGTTGTTTGAAGTCATTTTTATATATGTATATATTAACAAGTACTCAGTAAAATACGTACAAAGATATTTTATTCTTTGAAGATTTATGTTAATCAATATTTACTTCAATCTTTATAAAAAATATTTGTTGTTTGAAGTCATCTGAGGATTTATGTTAACCAATATTTATTCAAACTGTTTTTTTCTGTGTCCTTATCAGCCTCACCTTGCAGACAAACAAGTAACAACATCAGTTCCTCCAATCCAACAGCATGTATATGCAGCACCCTCTCGTGTTCACAGTCCTATCTTGGATGACAACCACCATAGTCAGCCACAAAGACCTCGTTCGAGAGCTTCTTATTTGGTGAGGATAAACTACTTTTACTTTTTCTGCTCCAGCTTAAATGTGAGATGATAATTAAGAATTCGTCAATTCTATTGAATTGATTCAAAGTTTGAGATGATAATTAAGAATTCGTCAATTCTATTTATTTGAGTCAAAGTTTCAGATGATAATCTAGAATTGGACAATTCTATTTAACTGAGTCAAAATTTGAGATGATAATTAAGAATTCGTCAATTCTATTGAATTGATTCAAAGTTTGAGATGATAATTAAGAATTCGTCAATTCTATTGAATTGATTCAAAGTTTGAGATGATAATCTAGAATTGGACAATTCTATTTAATTGAGTCAAAATTTGAGATGATAATCTAGAATTGGATAATTCTATTTAATTGAGTCAAAATTTGAGATGATAATTAAGAATTCGTCAATTCTATTTAATTGAGTCAAAATTTTAGATGATAATCTAGAATTGGATAATTCTATTTAATTGAGTCAAAATTTGAGATGATAATTAAGAATTCGTCAATTCTATTTAATTGAGTCAAAGTTTGAGATGATAATCTAGAATTGGACAATTCTATTTAATTGAGTCAAAATTTGAGATGATAATCTAGAATTCGACAATTCTCTTAAATTGAATTTAGCTTCCTTAGAGAATTTTTTACATCCAGAAATTAGTGCATTTTATATATCAGTTTTCCATATAATTCAACATTATTATTTATGTGTTTTACTATCTATCTATTTATAACTATTTTTCTCCTCTTCTTCTTTTACAAATTCTTCGATATGGTTGAACATTTGTTGTTTATTTTTTAATCATCTTCGAAATCCACCCATTTCCTTTTTGACTTATTGTTATTTCTTTCTTGTTTTTTGCATCTCTTCAAACTCCCAAATATACATCATTTTTGTTACATCTCTTCTACATTTCTGATCTTTTATAATTCTACAACTTTCTCTCTCTCTCTCTCTCTCTATATATATATATATATTTACATGTATGAATATTTCCACATCGTAGACCGAGAATTGTATAAATATGTATTTGTTCTTGATGTACATATTTAAGTTGTTTCTGGTTATAGTTTTTAGATCACAGTTGTACATATATATATGTTTAAACTAGGATACAATAAATGAGGTATTTCGATGTTGTTAACGTTACAGAACACTATATGTTAATATAAAAATAGCTCTAAAATTAAGTGTTAAGTAAAGAATGATTATAGGAATTTTTTGCTTCTCAAACAATTTGATGAAATTTTAAAAGAAAGCTTATTAGTTTATGATTAGAGTAGTGTTATTATTAGGCTTAAGCTTACAAGTAAAATACACTTTGTTTTTTGTTGTTTTTAAAGTCTGAATTGAGTGGGCCTTACCATAGTGTTAACCAAACGTCAATAGAAGAGTACAATTCAAATGTTAACCAAGGATACTTGTTCAGGAAATCGAGATCTTATCATAGCTGAAACAAGGATTCATTAAGCCTGTCCAGTAGAAATGAAATCCATTTATTGGATAACCCAAGCCTTGTTGATATTTATCTTGGATCATCTAAAACAGAGTGAGAAGACAGGCCTGACGCGATTAGCCAAAGTTGGTTCATGAAAAACCAACCGGTGACAAAAGAAATATTTAAATCGTGAAACCATACGGATTGGATCTGTGTTTTTATGTTTAAATGCCGGAATTGAGTGAACTCGATGAAGACACCATCCAACATGGGTGGTCTGACTTTGGATCAGTGCGTACGAAAATAAGTATTACGAAACAGTGATTAATCTGTTAGGAATTTATTGATCGACTGTGATGATGCCATGTAGACAGAAAAAAGAAAAGACAAGCAGAAGAACAGAAATATTAACCCACTGGTAACATCCAGTGAAATCTATATAACACAGTTATATGTGATATTTTATATAACCCACTGGTAACATCCAGTGAAATTTTCTGAGGACCATTATATGTGATATTTTATATAACCTGCCGGTAACTTCCAGTGAAATCTTCTAAGGACCATTATATGTGATATTTTATATAACCTGCCGGTAACTTCCAGTGAAATCTTCTAAGGACCATTATATGTGATATTTTATATAACCTGCCGGTAACTTCCAGTGAAATATTCTAAGAACCATTATATGTGATATTTTATATAACCTGCCGGTAACTTCCAGTGAAATCTTCTAAGGACCATTATATGTGATGTTCTATATAATCTGCTTGTCAGATTTAATGAAGTTGTTAAATACTCTTATGTGTGGTATTAAATAGATCATTCTGGAGCCCTCCAGTGGCACAGCTGTATGTCTGCAGACTTACAATGCTAGAAACCGGGTTTCAATACCCGTGGTGGGCAGAGCACAGATAGCCCATGGTGTAGCTTTGTGCTTATTTCCAAACAAACAAACAAAATCATTTTAGAAATATCCAGTAAAGCTGTTAAATATCGTTATATGTGATATAACATTTATTACACTGGTAATATCAAATGAAATTGTGTTATATGTGATATTACATTTATTACACTGGTAATATCAAATGAAATTGTGTTATATGTGATATTACATTTATTACCCTGGTAATATCAAATGAAATTGTGTTATATGTGATTAGTTTCTGTTTTATATTTATGTATACTTTTCTTATCTGAGGATGGACTTCTTCCAGAGATACATGATGTTCATGACAACATTTACTATGTTGAAGGCCAATAGATGGTAGCGCTGTGGCCAGTTCCAATTAAATTGTTAGTCGCTTTATATACTAATATTTTTAAAAGAATGAAAATTCCTTTTTTTTTTGCTTACATACTTACATTCTAAGAGCATCAGTGAGTTTAATTCTAGATTTTAATCAAACTAATATCTAATATCTTTTAAGATGATACTGTACATGAGCGTGAAATATATATCCCCTGTTTATTATCTTAACTTTCTACCGGTTTAAACTAAATCTTTCGAAACTGTTGCAGTTAAGTCAAATATAATACCACAAAACTCCTGATTTTATCTTTACATTATATCGTATAGTTTTAGTAAAATGATCTTGATATAATTTTGTAACTTAACTTCCGCAGGGAACAATGTTAACCGCCTTGTTATAAATCGCATGTGTTTTAGGTACATTTGATTAATTCGAAAATACTAAATGCTATCTTATATCGTTAATAGAAAGACTACGTTTTAGTAGCAATGTTTAAAAACTTATTTGTCTTCATAACTTTACAACTCTGGTTGTTTCATAATTTTTAACGCTTATTAAGGTTTTACTGTATGATTAGCCTATCACTCTTATTGAAGTTTTACTGCATGATTAACCTGCCATGCTTATTGAAGTTTTACTGTATGAATAACCAATACACTCGTTAATATCTTACTGTATTAATAACCTATCACACTTATTAAATATTACTGTGATTATCTACATCAATAAATGTTGTTTCAAGTGTATTTTGTTCATTGTAAACATGGTACAGTTTTGGTTTTAATAGACTTCTATTATAAGGCGCGTTTCAACCCGAAACGTCACTCCACTACAGAAACAAACAGGAGCAGCCAATATAAGCCAAATCTGTACTGCACCAGTAGATATTTACAAACGTGGCGACATCTAGTGTAGACTATTTTGTTGGTGAACTGGATATCGATTTGATTTTAGGTGATATTATAATTTTCTATGAACAATAGTTCATTAACACGATCTTTGCATCTAACTGGTTTCTTGTACTAAAACAATAAAGGAATAATGTCAGAATAAAAACCTCATTC